GCTACTCTTCCTTTCCCTTCTTTATCTAGCTTGTGTCCTTGCCCTTTTTCTTTCTTTGTTTTCTCTGCTTTAGTCCACCCAGAATTAAACATGACATAACTTAGTCATTTGGTGTCACTAAGTTTATTGACATGTCCCTCACATCATAAAAATAAAAATGTACTTGTGGATCAGTAAGTTATCATATGATCATAGGGTTTTTCTTTGTTCTAGACTCTTCTCAGATTTTGCTGCCTTGTCCTCTAACTGTATCCTTAGAGTCTGGTATATGTATCTGCTCGATAAATATTTGTTGAGTGAGTGAATGAATGAATCATTTGCTTTGGGTAATTCAAGGCAATCAGTGAAGTATGTGTTGAGCATTTATTACTTACCAGGTACTGCGTACCCTGGGGATAGAACAGTAAATCTGAAACATCCCTTTCCTCATGAAGCTGATATTCTAATGAGGCAGACAAATAGTAGAGAATGGACTGGAATAATTACAGATTATGATAATGGATATAGAATAAGTGAAGGGGGATTGTAGTAGAGGCTGATAGAAGAGGTGCCTGCTTTGATAGGATTGTCATAAAAGTGACTTCGAAGATGTTATAAAGGAAGACAAGAAGAAGTTACTGGGCCAAGAGCCAGGGACGAGCATTACAAGCAAAGAACAAGCTTGGTGAGTTCTAGGAATTGACAGGAGGGCAGTGTGACTGGTGTGAGTGAAGCAGGCAGGGGCCAGATCATGCAGGACATCATGGGCCTTTGGGAATTTGGGTGTTATTTTCAGTGCAACAAAATGAAACCATTGAAGGGATTTAAGCAGAGAAGTGACACTGTAGAAAGATCATTCTGGCAGCTGGGTGGAGAAAATATTGGCAATGGGGGTAAGTCAGGACATTTACTGTTTTGATAAAGGATTTTATGTATAGTCAAACCTAAGAGAAATTAAAAAAATAAGAATCTCCAGCTCCCACCTCCTGCTAGTTTCTCTTGGGTTATTTAAGTGTCTGCATTAAGTGGATGGTAGCAAAAGAACCAGAGCTTACTCCCTGGTAAGCCTAAGAGTTAAAAAGACACCCTGAAGCACAAATGACCTTTGGGGAAGCTTTTGACATTAGCCTTCAAACTTGCCTTGAAATGGTCTTCTTTTAGCTCCAGAGTAACCTGTTATTCTTCCCCTTTCCTGTCTCTGTTTTGGTACTTTCCCCTTCTCTCCTGCAATCATCTAACAATAGATATTCCCTAAAATTCACACTTGATCTTGACTGTCCTCTGGTCACTTTCTCTCCTTCAGTAATCTGACACTGTCTCGCAGCTGAGCAAGTTTGCTCTTGAACTTTGATTTGAAACACCAATGGGACCTTAGTCTAAATAGAGGTTTCCTTACGCAGTTAGAAATAGAAAAGTCCCTCCAAAAGAAGAAGTGGGGCTCAGGACACTTTTAATATAGAGATACTTGATGATACCCAAGGAGATTCTGATTCAGTAGGTCCAGGTGGTGCCCAGAAATCTGCTACACAGCAAATTTCCAAATGACTGCCATGGAAGTAGTAAAAGGTTATTAAGTATGAAATGTCCTATTTCCTTAAGTACTAAGTTTGACAGTTGATATCTCTGACATTTCACTTTGACACTTCTTGTTTTATGTTTATTGTGAAGGTACATCCTCAATCTTGCAAATGCACTTTTTGGCTTGTGATTATCTTTCACATTTTTTAAGAGCAATTTTTGTGAAACCACGCATAAGTCAAAAATTCGTGTTATTTATTAATACAAGTGCGTTGTGGAACCAATGGAGCACAGACAGCTCGAACTATCAATGAAGTGTTTGTGAAGGATGTGGCTAATGAACACATAGTACATCAATGGCTTGAGAAGTTCTGTTCTGGTGATTTCAATCTTGAAAATGAGCCACGTGGGTGACCTGAGATCAAGGTGGGTAATGATGAGCTGAAAGCTGCAGTGGAAGCGAATCCATTTCAACCTTTATGTGAATTAGCAGCAACGTTTGACATTACTATTTCAACAATATTGGACCATTTGAAACAAATTGGCAAGGTAAAGAAGTTGGATAGATAGGTTTGTATGAATTAAATGAGCAGCAGAAGAGAAATCGTCTTGAAGCTTGCTATCACGACATAAAGGCAAACCATTTCTACACTGTATTGTTACATGTGATGAAAAATGGATTCTTTTTGACAATCACAAATGTTTGGCACAACGGTTGTATAAAGACAAAGTGCTGAAACACAGTCCAAAACTGAATATTCATCCAAAAAAGCTAATGGTGTCTGGTGGTCCAGTGCTGGTATTATCAACTACTGCTTCATGAAACCTGGTCAATCAATTACAGCAGATGGCTACTGCAACCACTTGGATGAAATGATGAGGATGCTTGGGATCAAGCAGCCGAGATTGGTCAACAGAAGCAGGCCAAGCCTCTTGCAAAACAACATTCGACTACATGTCGCACAAACAGCACTGCTCAAACTATAGCAGCTGGACTTGGAAAGTCTCTGTCATCCACCATATTCACCAGACCTTGCACCAACTGACTTCCAGTTCTTCCAGGCTTTGGACCACTTCTTGCAAGGAAAAATATTTAATTCTCGCAAGCTGTGGAAAACGCCTTTAGTGATTTAATCGCCACTCGCTCTCTGGACTTCTTCACTGTTGGCATAAACAAGCAACCATTAAGATGGCAAAACTGTGTCTATTGTTTAGGCACGTACTATGATTAATTGTACTATTTCCTGTTTGAGGTATAATAAACTACATTTTTGATCTGAAATAGAACATTTCATATTTAATGACCTTAATACAACCAACCAAGCTGCCAGATGTACTCACCAAAGGCCAGAGCCCAGCTCACTCCCAGTGACTGTGTGTGCTTTTATAAATCCAGGCAGTCTTTAATATATACTACCCCTCCTTCCAGA